GGGTCAAAATAGGTGTGTGTGGCCCTCAGGTGTAATGACTATTAGGTTTTGGCAGGATCAGCACCACCAACAACCTAGCTACATAGGACTCCCAGTGTCTCCCTAATCCTAGGACCTACTCTAACCGGAAGTGGGAGAAAGATTGTACAGACAGTGGTGCAGCATCAGCATGGGATCACATGAGGAGGAGAGGGGTGAGCCAGGAGCTGGGGCTATGAAGACCATGGTGGAAATCTAACATAAGAACCCAGACCTGGAACTCGCTGGAGGGAGTGGCAAAAGTGGTTGCAAACAAAGAGCTGTGTACCAACTGTAAAATCAAACGGTAGACCTGTGCGTGACACAGCTTAGAAACCTGCCCCAAGGAGAAGAATCTGATAACTAGAAGTACAATGACCAAGAGCAAAAGAAGAGACAAAGGCACAGTGAATATTCCTGAAGACTCCCTTGCAAAGGAGCGAAATCCTTTGCCAGCTTCAGAGTTTACTGAGGAAGACATCAAGAAAATGGGGAATATTGAATTCAGAACACTTGTTGTAAAGCATCTTAACAATGAGAAGCACGTAAAGCAGGAGTTCAAGGATTTTAAGGTACACGTCACACAGGAAATGAATCAGATGAAAGCTGATATATCAGAAATGAAGAAAACAGTAGAGTAAATTAAAAGTACAGTGGAGAGTCTCTAAAATAGGATGAAGGAAACAGAAGAAAGAATCTCAGAATTAGAAGATATTTCCTGTCACCATGAAGAAACAAACAAAAAGCTGGAAGCAGAGCTGGGTCAAGCTAAAGAAAAAAATCAATAATTGAAAGATACTATTAAAAGGCCAAATATAAGAATTTATGGGAGTTGCAGAGGGTGAAGAAAGAGAAGCTGGGTTTACAAATGTATTTAATGAAATAATAAGGGAAAATTTCCCTAATCTAAAGAAAAAATTGGGAAACAAGATCCAGGAGGGGCACAGAACTCCCAACAGGGTTGACCAAAAGCGATCTTCAACGTGACACATGATAATCAGGCTCTCTTCATTCAAGCATAAGGAAAAAATCCTTAAATGTGCACGTGAAAAAAATCAATTGACTTGTAAAGGAATGCCAATTAAACTCACAGAAGACCTCTCACAGGAAACTATACAGGCCAGAAAAAAATGGAGTGACATATTCCAGATTCTAAAAGAAAAAAATTGCTGGTCCAGAGTAATGTACCCAGCAAAGCCTTCCTTTGTCTTTGAAAATTAAATAAAATTCTTCCACAGTAAAGAAAAGTTACAAGAATATGGAATACCTGCCCTAAAATGATACTTAAAGATGTTTTCTTGACAGAGAAGAGGAATAGCACCTACCAAAACCAAAGGCAAATAAGATGAACATCCCAGTAAAATAACAACAGAAGACTAAATCAATGAATAACCCATTGCTAAAATAACAGGACCAAATTACCACCTATTTGTATTAACCCTGAATGTAAACAGCTTAAACTCATCAATCAAACGTCATAGATTGCTAGACCGGATTCCAAAAACAAAACCCATCTATTTGTTACCTACAGGAGACATATCTCACCAACAAAGATCAGTGGAAACTACGTCTCAAAGAATTTGATTTTTTTGTTAGTTTCATCTCTTCCAAACACTTTCTTCTAATTAAATTCTTCAGTGACTCATAGATCATACAGTAACATCATTTTCTTCAATAAGGTTCTTGATTTTCTTTTTCATTTCATGACACATTAGTCATTCAGTAGCATGTTATTTAACTTCGTGGTCTTTCTTTTTTCTTCCTGTTGTTGATTTTGTTTTGTCGCTTTTCATTTAAGGGGATGTGTAATAACTGTGTAATAGAGACTATCATATCTAGTAATGTGTTACTTAACTTTATGGTGTTATAAATTTCAATTTTTACTCCTGATGTTGATTTTGTTTTGTGGCTTTTCATTTAAGGGGATTTATAGTAACTGTGTAATGGAGACCGTCATATCCAGATGTGAGGATACAGTGCAGTGTGCATCTCTACTTCCAGGCCAAAGATGGCCTCCCGATGAAGCTATTCACTATGTCTTGATAATAGGATGCTGGACTCTACCATTGTCTATGCCTGCAATGATGGACACAGACTGTTTATGAAGAAGTATAGTATAGTATAGGGGAATTCAGTGAGTGGGAGGGGTCTGGGGAGGGAGTGAGGGGAATCCCAGGGCCTAAGAAACTGTATCATAAAATGATGATGATGATAATAATAAGCAAAAGAAATAAAAGACAAAAAAAAAAAGAATTAAGATCTAGTGAAAGCCAAGCCTCAAGAAGCAGCATCGGCTTTCACTCCATTGGCAGTACCAAACAGTGTGGGCAGAGATTTAGTCTAAAATGTCGACTTTGGTATGCACCATTATTATGAAGCAGTTCTGTGACCGTGTTCAAGGGTTGGGCTCTTTGTAACCGTATGAGGGGGCTCTTAGTGAGGGTTTTATTTAGCAGCAGTCATTCAGGAACCATGTAACACTGCGATCAGACGCTTTGAGCCCCGGCTTGTCATTGATTAGTTATGTGAGTGTGTGGTAAGTCATTGACCTTGCTGATCTCAGCTTCTGTTTTGAGAAATGTCAGGGATATGACTGTGTGACCAGAATTTCCGAGGGCTCGGATGCAGTTACTTAAATACCTGATGAAGTTCCCACATGTGGAGGACTTCCCCCAAGAGGAGCAGTTACCACTGAGTACAGAAAGGACCTATTGTAAGTTAAGCTTCTGTGTTAATTGCTGGAGTTTTGTGCTCATGGGTCTCCATTGTTTTAACTTCAGTGAGGCTGGCTTGGGTTCTGTTTAGCAAGCATGCAGGTTTTACTTTTTTGTTCACTTAGAACAAAAGGTCTGTTTGTGCTCTGAGATCCTAGGTGGCTGGTGGGAGTGAGCAAGGAAGAGGGCGAGCTGACGGTTAACCTGATCTGGGCCCGCCTGCCGGCAGAACCACTCTTCATTTCCCTGGCAGATTCTGTTGAACAAAGGGGTCTGTGTGTTACAGAACGTTTGGAAACCCAAAAGCAAGTTCAAGCAGTCAGGTCCTCCGCTCAGGTGTCTGTCCTGGTGCCCCTTCTCCTTGGCCTTGCAAGGGTGTGGGACTGGGTGGAACTAGAGGGCAAGCATGGCAGGGTGGATTGTGATTTCTTTTTAATTGAACCTCCCCAGGGAGGGGTACATTTTGAGTCATCTTGGGAAAGTTTCCAACTGTAAAATATCAGGTTTAGATATTAAGATTCTCTTTACTGCCTCCTACCCGTTTCTGCTGAGACCTCTTTATCACAACTTTACTATTTTTTTCCATTTTCATTTTTTAATATAATTTTAAAAAAGATTTTATTTATTTATTTTTTATTACAAAGTCAGATATACAGAGAGAAGGAGAGACAGAGAGGAAGATCTTCTATCCGATGGTTCACTCCCCAAGTGAGCGCAACGGTTGGTGCTATGCCCATCTGAAGCCGGGAACGAGGAATTTCTTTCCGGGTCTCCCACGCAGGTACAGGGTCCCAAGGCTTTGGGCTGTCCTAGACTGCTTTCCCAAGCCACAAGCAGGGAGCTGGACGGGAAGTGGAGCTGCTGGGATTAGAACCGGCGCCCATATAGGATCCTGGCAGGTTCAAGGCGAGAACTTTAGCCGCTAGGCTACACTGCCGGGCTCTTCAATTTTCATTTTATTTTCTTTTAAAGGTTTCATTTTTATTTGAAAGGTAGAAGTACAGAGAGAAGGAGGGACTGTGAGAGAGAGAGAGAAAGATCATCCCTGCTTTGTTCATTCTCCCAGACCACAATCAAGGAGCTGGATTGAATGTGGAACTGCTGGGACTTGAACTGGTGCCCACATGGTATGCGGGCACCACAGGGGGGCTTAGCTTACTGTGCCATGGTGCTGGCCCAAGACACTTCTGTTTCACTTGTCCCCTTCGCTTGCCCCTCTTCACGAGGTCCCGAAGCTCCTTTTCTGCTAGTCCTGCCTGCAGCCTCCGGCCGCACTGAGACCTGGATGGGTGTCCAGCACAGTGGGGGAGACCCACACAGCAGGCGGGTTCGGTGCCTGCAGCTCCCCTTCCTGTCCTTCCTTCCGCTTCCTGCTGCCCACACCGGGCCTTCTCACTTTAATCCAAGGTGCGGACGCAAGCGTCCCTCATTTCACTGTTCACGTTCTCATGGCCAAACTTCAGCTTTCTGCTTTTATGGTCTTTCTAGTCTACTCCATTGTCCTCCCCCCCTCCTGCCGCCTGCCCCTGTCCCCCCTCCCCCCCGCTCCTGTCCCCCCTCCCCCCCGCCCCTGTCCCCCCCCCGCCCCTGTACCCCCCCCACCCCTGTACCCCCTTCCCCCCCCCCGTCCCCCCTCCCCCCGCACCGTCCCCTCCCCCAGCCCCGCACCCTCCCCCAGCCCCGCACCTGTAACCCAAGCTGCGCTCACAGACTGGTCCGTTTCCTTGCTTAGTGTTGGGTGCCTTTCCCATGCTTTATGATAGCGTCCTTTGTCCCTGCCTGGGAAAGAGTACTGCTCTGCTGCTTTCACCAGGTTTGCGAGGTTTTCTTCTCACCTTCACTGAGCTGTTACAGGTCCTGTTTCCAACCTGGGAAGTCCACTGCTCCTTCCGCAGCTCCCTGCTGCCCCGCAGTTATCCGGCTCAGAAGGCTTGTCCCGCCTGGCCATGCCCTCCTTTATGCCTCCTGCCCATAGCCTGGGCCTCATTTGCAATAAGTATCTGCTTCTGCCTTCTCCTGCCTTTCAATGTTAGCATCCAGACAGTAGTGATTTTTCTGGAAACAGGACCTGACGCTGATACAGGGAATGCAAGTACATTTGTGGAAGAAGTGACCGAATAAGTTGCCAACTTTCCTCTCCCCTGGTTCAGTGTTTGAGTTGTGATCCTGACCTTACTGGAACTCTGTGCCGTCAGCTCATAATGACCTGTATGTGACCATGTCGTCACCTGTGTGTGACCTGTATGTGACCATGTCGTCACCTGTGTGTGACCATGTGGTTGTTCATCCCCGTGCTAGAGTTGCTGCGCGTTGCAGCCAGGCGTGCGTGCAGCTTTTCAGTGGAAACAGCTGGAACTTTCCCCCACTGTCCTCTGCTTGCTGCTTTGAAAACAGGAGGAGATAATGTGATAATAATTTTAAACATTCTTATTAAGAAGTTGAAGATCTTATTTTTAAAGGCATTTTAAAGTTAATCAAATCAAATATTTATTAAGTACTAGAAAGACCTAGAGAGTCCCCTCAAGATAAAAATGAAAATATAGGCACATTTGGGTTCCTAAGAAATAAAACAGAAACCTAAACAACACTGCAGGAGTCCTTATGTTCAAAGAGGCCACGGAGATTCAGCTTTGTGATTTTCTACCTGAATAGGTAAAGATACTTTAATAGGCTTGTGGAATTATGAGATAGGTTTATTTTTGTGCAACAATATTTGAAATACATGCGTGCATGTGGTATTCAGAGAGTTCTTAAAAATACATATTATTGACTAAATGCTATCCCACATAGGCACCGGTTCGAGTCCCAACTGCTCCCACAGTGGGATGTGGAGCCTAATGGACCAGAGCGTCACTCTTGTCCCCTGGCACAGCTGGAGTTTTGAGCACATGACCTGCTGTTAACTAGCTGAAAAATCTATGCATGCCCTCCTGGATGAGCTGGGCAGTGTGGCCTTCTGCAGCAGCATCTGGCGTCTCCTCGTGGGGCGGGGACCAGCCAGCCAGCAGTGCTGGTGATGCTGCGCAGTCAACACAGGTGTGCTGAGTGGACTCAGCCTTGGGCACGGCTGGTGCAGTCCCAGGGCCTAGCGTGTGTCCTGTGGCTGTTTCCATAAGCACCATCATTTCTTGGGCCCAAGGCCTTATCTGCTTCATTTGCCAGAGGTCACTCTGTTCTCTGCACCCAGGAACTGTGACTCGGCAGTTACCTGTGGGGAAGGCTTACTCTTAATCCTAGCTACCTGGAAATATATCCTATTTTATGATAGCCACAGCTGTCAAAAGCCTAAATGTGAGTTAACACTGTAAAAGGAATCTTATTTATCTGTTTATTTGTGAAAGAGCAAAGTCTTCCACCTGCTCGTTGATACCCCAGCTGGCTGCATCAGCAGGAGCTGCACCAGTCCTAAGCCAGGAGCCCAGAGCTTCTGCTGGGTCTCCTGGGCCATCCTCTGCGTCTCTGCCTGGTGCTTTGACACCGGCTGGTACCCATATGGGATGCAGCTTTATCCACTGGTCCAGTCCCTCTCCTGGTATAGGTCATTTTCTGTGCTCAGCCTGCGTGTAATGGAACCCTGGAACCTCTGCCTCTTAGCTAGCTGAGTACACGGTAATCAGTCTTCCAGTCTTTGATGGCCATGTCTTTGTAACTGTGCAGTCTGCTCTGGCAGGATTGACTCATTCCATTCCTGTCCAGTGTAAGCTAGCTCACAGTGGTGTTTCTAGTAAGTGCCTGTGATCACTTTAATTTGGGGATGAAGGATGTGGAAAAGAAGGTAGCTGTTTTGAAGCCTGGCAGTGTAGAGTGGACCTCGGAGGTATGCACATCTGGCGCGCGTCCTCATTGTTCTGTTTTTATTCTGAGTGACCTCAGGTAAGCCACTGAATTTTTCAGTCTGACTTTTCAACCTGAAAGATGAAAACCATACAGAACAGTTGGGAACGTTAAATAAAATACATAATGCATTTATCACAGTCCCTGGCGTTGGTGAGGGCTCCGTAAATGATAACTGATATTCCTGCCAGTGGTGAAAGTTATAGAAATGGCCGGTTTGCTACCCCATTCCTAAATGCCCCATTGCCCAAAAAGGAGTTCAGAAGGGCTCTGTGGCTTAGCTACATTAAGGAGCACATTAAATTTTATAAACTAGTCTTACTCCTGTTTTTATAACATTGTTTCCGTTTTTGTGGTGTAACTCATTCTTCGGGAGGTTTGGCTCGGCTGTTTGTATTGTACATAGCTGTTCTTTTTGTGGGGGTCAGGCAGTCAAGTAAGCAGGGTTAGAATCTGGTTAATAGAACAGTTGAGCTCAGGTGAAGCCTGCCGCGTGTGTTTGCAGAGGCTGACGACTGCTGTGACACGTTGTTTCAGGATCATGTGGCTTGCTCTGGGGCGTCATACTTTGCCTAGTTAGGCTTCAGATGACATTACAAAGTTTCCGTTTTCTTTTTATAGTCAGCTGCTCATTATTTCACTTTCAAAGTGCTATCAGAATGTGTGGTCCTTAAGCATCTTGCGCTGATTTGTTCAACATTGGAAGATGTTGTTAGGGCACGTAGGCACTGCGTTTGGCCCCGTTTGCTCACTGTCCTGGGGCTGCTCTCGTTGAAAGGCTCACATCTGTGCTGTGTCAGCCTGCTGGCTGCCTCGACTGGCTGGGCAAGCCAGCCTGTTGTCTGTGACACTGTTGACAGTACAGTCACAAGTGTATATGTGAAAAATTGTTGACCATTTGGCTGCTTTTTAAATCAATGGAAATAAGTTAATGAATAATCTTAGGCACACAGAGTTTGATGATGATGTTCTGCTATAGAAATGTTTTGTAGTGCACTCTTAGCCTTTCTTTGCCTGCTTTGGTTAGTGTCCTGTCCTGTGATCTTAAAGATTAGGACTATGCACTTGATATTGTATTGGCCAATTTTTTAAAAGATATATTTTATTTTTTATTGCAAAGTATAGTTCTGAAATGCTGTCAGTTGCACCGATCCAAGGGTGAGGCGACCCTCTCAGTGTCCGTTGGCTGCCTAGGTGACCTCAAGGCTCCATTCACCCATAGATTTTTGCTGTCATCATTTGCTGGGACAGTTGTCTGTGTTTTTCTGTTCTCCTTCCTCTGTGACGGTACCAAATGGGCTGTCATAGTCTCCATGTGCATCATGGTCTACGTCCACTACTACGCCTCTTTCACTTGCAGACATTGTATTTAATTTCTCTTTGTTCTTTGACTTATTCATGTATTTTTATTTACGTTGTTTATCTCCAAGTATTTTGAGCCTTTCCAGCCGTCTTCACATCACTGTGCTATGAGAGCAGTTCCTGCATGATTTCCATTCTTTTCAATTTTCCCAGTTTTGTTTGACGTCCCAATATGTGGTCTATGTTAGTGAGTGTTTGGTTGGAGTGTGATGAGGCTTGTAGTCTGTTGTCGGATGAAGTTGTCTGTAGATTCTATGTCACGTAGATTGATGATGTTGCTAAGTTAAATTATTGCCTTAGCCAATTTCTGCCTGCTGGTTCTGTCCGAGTCTGATAGGAAGGAGTGGCGTCTCCAGCTGTGATAACAGAGTCCTCTGTGTCTGCTTGCAGTCTGATCAGTTCTTGCCTTATTTTGATGCGGTGTTGTGAAGAGCGCACATGCTGAAGGCTGCTGTATCTTCTTGAAGAATTGACTTTTCAGTCTTTATACAGTGCCTCTCTTTTTCCCTGGTAATTTTCCTTATTAGGAAATCCGCTGTGTCAGAAAATAATATGGCTATTTGCTTTCTTTTGAGGCATGTTAATGTGGTTTTTTTTCTCCATCTATTTACTGTAAATCTATATATTGAAAGTGGGCTTCCTGTAGACAACGTATGGTTAGCTTTTTCTGAATCCACTGTGGCAGTTTCTGTCTTTTGATCATGGAATATAGCCAACGCCATTTTAAAATATGTATATATGTCCTAATAGTTGGATAAATCTATTCCATATTATTGCTTTCTGTTTATTGTTTTTATTCTGTGTTCTGCTTCTGTCTTCTGTCCATTTTTTTCTGACTTGTGATTTTTAGTGAGCATTTTATATATTCCAATTTCATTCCTTAATAAATCTGCCACACTTCAGTGTAAACTTTTTTATTATTTTATGGATTGTCTTAGCATTCCAAGATATGTTTACAGGGGACTCAAGATTACTTTTGGATAAAGTTGTACTACTTCTTGAGTAGTGTAAATGCCTTATAACATCAAAACAACAAAGCAGTTTTAATTTCTTCCTCCTATTCCTTTCGTTACTGTTGTAATTCATCTAATTTATTCATATATGAGAGTATATAGACACATAAGGATACATGTAGGCATATATTTTCATACATATGCTTTATGAATATACATTCACATGAAGATACTTCAAAAAGTTTGTGTAAAATGGAAGTAAAAGATAAGGTTATTATTTTGCAAAATTCTGTGCATACAAGGCATCTTTCAGAAATACAAGACAAATTTATAATAAAGATACTATGCATAGATTTCAATAATTTTGCACAAAAATAAACATATTTCAATTTCATTTTTGTGAATGCTTTGAAATATACGTATTTACTTACCTGCTTATGAACATGTATAATGGAATACATTATTTTTGCTATTGTATTAAGGTAGCTGTTATCTCTTAGTGCAATTTTGAATAAGAGCAGTGTTTAAAGAAACTGTGGTACATCTACTCCATGGAATATTGCTCAGCCATTAAGAAGAATGAAATGATACCATTTGCAACTAGATGGTCCCAACTAGAGACCATTATGCTCAGTGAAATAACTCAGTTTTAAAAAGACAAATACTATATGTTCTGCCTCGTATAAAGAAACCATCATGCAAATTTGACTGTATAGTAATGGAGTAATAGAGATTACCATATCCTGATGTGAAGACATAATGCAACATGCATGCCTACTTCCAAATTAAAGATGGACTCCAAGGAAACTGATAGACATATCTAGACAATGGGATGCTGGACTGTCTGCCATGGTCTGTACCAGCAACGTCAGGGCACACTTAAATAACAGACTGATTGAATTATAACTCCTTATGAAGGACTATGCTATTGTAACAGTATGGGGAAAATCAGTCACTGGGTGGGGATTGGGACATGGGGAATCCCAGACTCTACGTAATTGTATCATAAAATTCAAAATTTAAAATAAAAATTAAAAAAAATAGTTTGGCTTTTTATAAAGGTCTTATTCTCCAAAATATGACTCTTCAAGTTTCACATAGCTTTATACTTGTCATAAAGTTTTTGTTAATGAAAAAATGTTTTCTTTTACTTTGATTTATTCTTTTCTCTGACACTTGATCTTTTTGTGTAGATCCAACTTTCTGACCCATATAATTTTCCTTCTCTCTAAAGAACTTTTGAAAAGATTTTTTGGGAGGCAATTCCGCTGGTCTAAAGTTTTCTCAATTTCTGTTTTTCTGAAGAACTCTTCACGTTTTCTCTTTGAAAGGACAGTTTTACAGGGATTAGAATTTCAGATTGGTGGATTTTTCTTTCTTAATATATCATTCCTTGTATTTACTCACTTACTTATGTTAGAGAGAGGGATGGCCCTTTGTCCGAGCCACTGAACTCAGTCTGTGTCTCCCAAGCGAGGACAGGTACCTAGCTGCTGTGGTAGAAGTTGAGGCCAGGCACTCCAATGTGGGATGCAAGATGCTTTTACTGGCTTCTTAACTCCTAAGCCAAACTCCTGTTCCTCCGTAATTTTCCTGCTTGTTGCTTCTGATTAGAATTCAAGTGTAAGGGGCCTGGTGCAGTGGTATATCAAGCTAGTCATCAGCCTGAGGGGCTAACATCCTTTACAGAAACAGATTTGAGTCCTGAATGTTCCACTTTGGATCCAGCTCCCTGCTAATGGCCTGGGAAAGCAGCAGAGTATGGCAGGCTACGGTCCCTGCACCCTGGCTCCTCTCAGCATCACTTCAGCCCAATTCTGGCCGTTGTGACTATTTGCAAATGAACCAGTGGATGGAGGATATCTCTTTCTGTCTCTCCTTCTCTCTGTAGCTCTTTCAAGTAAAATATTTTAATTTTATTGGAAAGACAGACATAGCAGAGAGAAGGAGAAATGGAAAGAAGGATCTTTTGTCCTCTGATAACTCTCCAAATGACCACAATGGCCGGAACTGAGACGATCCGAAGCCCGGAGCCAGGAGATTCCTCCAGGTCTCCCACATCGACGCAGAGTCTGAAGGTCTTGGGCCATCTTTCACTGCCTTCTGAGGCCACAAGCAGGGAGCTGGATGGGAAGTGGAGCAGATGGGACATGAACTGGCATCCCTTGTGGGACCCTGGCAGATGCAAAGCAAGGATCCAGCCACCAGGTGATCACACCAGGCCCGTAAAATAAATCCTTTTATAAAAAATAATTCAAATGTAATTCTTGTTACTCTGTAGGAAATGTATTTTTTCCTTTTTGCTTCTTTCTTCTTTCACGTATTTATCTTTGATTTTTGATATTGTAAATATGGTATCTTTTGCTTTAGGGTTTTATCGATTGATTGACTGATTGATTGGTGTGTTTATCTTCTTTGTGATCTGAGCTTCCTGAATCAGTGACTTTTTTCCGATTTGAATTTGAGGAACCTCTCAGTCGTTGTTGATCCCAATATTGTTCTACTTACTTGTTTCTCTCTGCGCCTTCTGGACTTGCCAGCATGTGCCCTCCCTGCCTTGGCTATAACCCACAGGTTGGGATCTCTGCTCTTGAGTTTCAGTTTTGCATTTGTGTGTTTACTTGTTCTTCAGCTCAGAGGTCATTCTGATAATTCCTGCGAAGCCGTCTAGCTTTTCTATAGTGCTTCTAACCTCTGGGTTTGTTCCGATTCTTTCTTAGAATGTCCACCTCTCTGCTTACACTCTCTTTCCTTGTCTTCTGTCCTCTTGCTTTATGCTTGCCCTTGGCTTTATGCTTTTAAATCAGCATTCCTACATCTCTGCCACTTCTGAGCTTGGGTCTGAGACTCTTCTGCCCTATTATTTTTCCTTCTAGTAGACTTTGGGATTTCTTCTTGATAGCTGAACATGCTATGTTGGGTAGAAAAGCAAAGCAAAGCAAACCAAATCAAACCAAAATAAAGCTAAAATAGTCAAAATCCCCTGGCTATAAACAGGCTCCTCGAAAGTGTTGGGAAAGATTGGCAGGCACAGAGTTTTGTGCTATAGCTACATGTCAGAATTCAACAAGCTTTGCAACCTTGCTGGCTGCTGTCCGCTCTGATTAGACGTGTGGTAGATGAGGCCGGAGGTGGGCACTCCCCGTTTCCCCTGAGAGGCTCAGTCCAGCTGCAGCGAAGGTGTTGTCCTTACTGTGGTCAGGTAGGCTGTGATAAAACCCTAGCTGCGAAGGCTCCTTTTACTCGGTTGCCCCTGTGGGTGAACTTTGCTAGGAAGGTTTTGGTTTGCCACGACAGCCAGGTTGGGCTTCTGAAGGTTAAACTCAGCTCAACCGAGGAGCCCCTCTTTGGGCATCCCCTGAGAGTTGTGCAAACTGAGCACGCACTTGCCAGTCCCTATCAGGTCTTGCTGCAGTAGCAGTGCCGCCCGGAAGTTGAGAATCTGCACGCATCGGTTCATGTCTCCAACGCTGAGGTGATGTGTGTCCTGCCCTCACTTCCAGGCATCCGAGAGGATTTGATTTTGTTCAAGTATTTAAAATTCTACTTGCTGTTAGAATTGATTGGCTTTTTTGTGCTGGATTAGAGGTGTGAAGTCCCTGGAAATTACATATTTTTAAAAATTATTTACTTGCAAGGCAGAGTTGCAGAGAAAGAGAGGCGTACACACATGTACACACACACACACACACACACACACACACACACACACACACACACACACACACACACACACACACACACACACACCTTCTGTCCATTGGTTAATTCTGCAGATGGCTGCAACAGCCTTGGCTGGGTCAGGCTGAGACCAGAGCCAGGGGCTTTATCTGAGTCCTGCATGGGTGCAGGGCCCAAGCAAGTAGCAGGGAGCTGGATCAGAAGCCAGGACTTGAACTGACACCTGTATGGCTTGTGGCATTGCGGGTGGTAGCTTAACTGGCTGTGCCACCAGGTTGGCTTACCTTGGACATGATTTTAATGTAAAAAGACGCTGACTACACTGCAGCATTAAATGAAGAGAGTGAGAAATCATGATTGGGCTTGAAGTCTAGGAAACAAAAGCTCAAAACATTATTGAATTTCTGCAAATTACACAGCCTGTAAGTAGCAGAGACGTGTGACCCACATCTAAATATTTTAACGCCCAAATCATCTTTCTACTACGCTAAATTCCACTTTTCTGAAAGGTGATGTGAAGAAATGTTCCAATGTGGCTTAAATTCTTTTCTGTACCTTCTAGTTTGTCTTTTAGCTGCAGTTTCTGATGGTCCTGAATACCCGCTTGGAGGAAATGGCTGACAGGAGTCGCTTTTCCTAATGTGACAAAGAGGAACTGAAGTCCAAATTCTCTTTCCATTTCATTCTTTTGAATTTATAGAATTTCTTAAAATCAAGAGTAACATATAAATGAAAATGCTACAGTGAAACTATTTGAGCTTAGTCAGGTTTGAAGAGCATAAGTAAGTTGCAAGGTTAGCATTACCGTACCCCTTAAATGTTAATAAGTGGTCTGATTTACAGTGGCTCTCTGCCTGTAAACCCTCCATTTACTGTGGAGTCACGTCATAGGATATTAAGGAGACAGCCACCACGGACTTGGTTTTTCTGATGAGCTCCCTGGTTCCCTTAGCAATTTTAGACGCACATGCTGTTTTACTGGAAGAGTAACTACAGGATGCGGCCCGATCACTCCCCACCTCCCATAGCAAACCTTCTGTTTGTTCTGTGATTTTGTAGTTAAAGGTGTCTGATGAAATTTGCCATCTTTGATAGATGCTGCTAAATCAGACAGTCGTAAAATGGATGCCAGGCCCGGCAGCTCTTCTTTCTTATATCATTAAACACAGATTTTCTCACCGGTCCTGCCATCTGCTGTGTGCAAAGCCTCCTCCTTCGAAGGCTCTGAAACGGCAAGCGGGGATCTTCTCACAGTGAACGCATTCAGCAGAGACTGAAGACAAGCAAAGTTCTTCATGGAAATTTATTTTTACTTTTCCAACCGTCATATGATTTTCCTAGCAATATAACACAATTCCCTGCGGCCCTTCCCCATTTAATTGTTGAAGCAGAAAAGTACATTAAATCTTAATTAGCTGTGCTACCTATAATAGCATCTGGTGGAATTGCATTTATGTTGGCAAATGAAATCAGCGTGGCAATCATTCTTACCTTGAGGTTGGGATTAGAGCGTTGTTTCATCGGGGAAGTTTTCTAATCTTTCTTTCAGATTATTCAGGCTTTGTTGAAACTATCTCATATACTTGTGGACCATACATCTCTTGGTATGCACGTCTGTGTGTGTGTAGATGGTATATGTGTATATATTGAGACACATGTGTACA